ATACCCAAGGAGACGACTTTGAGCCAAATCTGTCCACGGAGAACAAACAGTCAGAAACTGGCTCAATTTTAGATGGTTGGGGCAGTAAAGGGTAAATAGTGCCAAAAAATTTGCCTCCCTTAGCGATCTTCTGCCTTTAATTATAGGAACTATACTGAGTCTTCAAATTTTTTCAGAGTAGACGATGAGGTTATCGTAATGCGAGGTCGTCATCGCGGAAACACTGGACGAGTAATCCGTTGTTACCGTAAGAAGTTCGTTATCCATGTTGACAAGATCACCCGTGAGAAAGGAAACGGATCTACTGTGCACATCGGAATCCACCCTTCGAAGGTGAGGTTTGGTTAAAAACTAGTTCCGGTGCACGAAGAAATGTGAAGGTGAGTCTTTAGTACTCATTCAACTGCTTCAGCACTGTAGTAGTACGCTCCAGTATTCACTATTTTGTGAATCTCCAAAACTCTCGAAGGATCTTTGCTTCAAAAGTTCTACTTTAGTAAATCAGGGCCACACCTCAGCGCGAAGAAGTGTGCCATGTTCTGCCCATAAGACGAGGCCGGAGCGCGTACGCTGGTCGTCTGCGCTCTACTGAGGCTGTCTCGAGCAAAGGATCACTTCGTCGCGCTGCAGCGTGGCCCCCATCAACTTCAGTTTCACCGTTTTCGTATTTGTTACCCGTTTTCGCATTTAGGCCGCGTTCATACATGATGCAGAAATGCGGAATATGCAGAACTGCGGAATTTGCAGAAAGGAAATATATACGTATCGATCTGAAAACTGCATTTCTTCAAATTCCGCGGAATTTGCCGACATGCAGAAATTGACGGACAAAGAAGCGATAGGGATCGATCGGTCCATCGGCATTTCTGCAAATTCCGCACTTCTGCATATTCCACGGTTTTTGAAATCGATAGACATATTTTCTTTTTCTGCAAGTTCCGCGGTTCTCCCAATTCCGCAGTCTGCAAATTCCGCAGTTCTGCACATTCCGTGGTTCTGCATTTCTGCATCATGTATGAACGCGGCCTAACGAACTCATGATTTTCATTAAGATCATTACCGTGTTTGAAATTGCTTATTTATGAGACTAATACGGCATTTTCGAACGCTTTCAGGTCGCCCTCACGAAGCTGAAGCTAGACAAGGATCGTCGTGATCTCGTCGAAAGGAAAGCTGCCGGACGTGCCAAGGCACTCGGAATACTCAAGGGAAAGCACACCGATGAAAGCGTTGCTTAAATGAATTGTTCTTGTTTGTTGTTGAATGAATTTTTAATATATTGATGTCGTTGTGGTTGTCCATTGAAATCTAAGCTGTCCTCAGCAATGAAATTCTAAAACGTCAGTCCTATGTGTTTAGCGAGTGCCAGTTATTTTTTTCCAGTGTAGTGGGAAGTTCTGAAATCATGACAGTAGGATTTGTAGCAAGCCCATGACCTCTACAAATGTAGCACTATAGTGAGAATAATCAAATTAGAAAATTGTGGACCTTATATAACGGTGATCGACGTGCAGGCTGCGAAAGAAAAGCCCTCTCGGCTAAGAGCGCGTTCAGACTTCGCGATCGCGCGATCCGGATCGCGTGATTTGGATCGCGCGATCGCTGTGATCGCGTGATTTGGATCGCGCGATCGCTGTGATCGCGCGATCGCGCTACTGTGGGTGAAATTACACCGGGAGGGGTCATGTTCGTTCGTGTTCAACTCTCAAACTCAACAAAGTTCTGGGAAGGGAGTCGTACTGATATCACCATTTCTCACATCACGATGCTGTATCCTGCCTCCAATAGGCAGTTCCAAAAACGATATAAAAGTAGTTCGACCTTTTTTGATGTCTTTTATTCCGTGTTCATATTCGCAATACTGACGTTTGCAGAAACCGTCGAAAGGAAAGGTTGTGTATAGACCTGGAGGATGGCAGAACAAACAAAGCAAACACAATGTGACAAAAGTAAAGTGAATATCTGGAGAACTGGCAAAATCGGGGGAAGGGAGAGAAACAACATCACCCGCTGTTGAAAGTTCTGCGTGTCTTACTTTTGGAACAAGATGTTCAATACTCCGCTTGAACGTACTCAGATGCAAAATTCAGTATAATAATTAGCATATTGTATATTTAGTACTATTTTACATAGGAAATAATAAATAACTCAAAGATATTTCGAAACGTTCCTTAAAATTAGGAGGGCGTTATGTACACAAAGGAAGAAAGAAGGAAAAGGAAAAAAAGAACAGGAACAATAAACATGAACTAACATGATCCCCCTCGGCGTAATTTCACCCACAGTAGCGCGATCGCGCGATCCAGATCGCGCGATCACAGCGGACATATCTGCACGATCGTTCCAATCTGCATCTGCACTCCTCGAGAGTGTGTTCATGCTTTGCGACGGCTTGAGGGCGCAGGAGAGTAAGCAAGCGACCCAGGTTGACAAGGTGCCCTGAGACAAATAGGTGATATGACTCGACCTTCTATGATATGGTACGTTGGATTACGGTAGTCACGATTCTGCAGAAATGTTTTGTAAAGGTTTGAACTGTTTTCCACATCCTTCCCGTGAGATTTTCCTTTTTTCGACGGTAAATGATGGTAGAATCAAGGAACGATTGATAAAGAACAACATGGCGATTTTTACCAGAGCTTTGATGGGACAGCTCCAGGCTAATGGACCACTTCTACTCCGCAATTCCTGCTCTCCGACTTTGGGCAAACAATTTTCCCTGATCACCTATACTAAAAGAAAAATATTCGCAGTGGTTTCAAATGCCAGCGTCAAAATCTCGAAGTATATAAGGGCAAGACGCCAAGACTTCAGATCACGATGGATCTTCGGAGTCCCTTTTCGGCTCTATGCAGCACCATTCGTTTCGGTAACCCTGAAGAGAACCTGAAGACGAAGCGTGCATTGTCCATTCCATTTCAAACCCTGAAGAGCGATGGTGCGATTGTCCATTCCACAGCAGGCCGAGCTCTGTTTTCTTTTTATCGCTGCAGTAATGCAGAACATAGAGAAATCAAAGGCTCAAAGCATCGAAAAGTGCAAGGCCGCGTTCATACCACCGCCCTCCCCAAAGTAACGAATCGATTCTGGAAAATGCCGCAGAAGGCCGCGAGGCGCCTGTGTATGAACGCGGCCATGAAGATGTAACAAGCCACGAGACGGGCCTTTTTCAGGGTTGAGATTCCGGGCGGGGAAACACTTGTGATCTGAAAGCTGCGAAATGTGCCGAAGTCAGCAGCAACCACAGAGTGCCCAGCGGCCGAGAGGGGTGCAGAGAAAAGTAAGTGTATATACGCGTTTAAGGAGTTGAGTTCAAATTTTCCGTACACCGCTCCGTGTCCTCCCAAAGGAGTGGACGAGTTGTCCGGTATGCCAATCGCCTCATCCAATTTGCTGCATGGCACTTTGCCAACCACTTCAGCGTTTTTTTCCATTCTAAATGTGTCAAAGCTTTTTGCGTGTTTACTGCCCCTTCATTCTCTGTCCAGTTTCTCTGCGTGAACAACGACATTCGTTTGGACAGTTTTTCACCAAAACTTGATAAATGATCCCAAGGCAGAGCGCCTCATTAGCTGCAATTCATTGCTTGTGCAATGTTGTTCATGCTGTTCATCTAGTTTGTTATTTTCTTTTCCTGGCTGAGGATTTGTGATAATACTAAGTAACTGAAAGTCGCTGCACTCAACGGTCTCGATATGAGAGATTTTGTGTTGTCATTGGTAACGACGCTTTTCATTCGTTCAGGCGACAGCTTTGTCATTTGTAGTGACTCCAACTCTGATAACCTTTTCGTTTTTCAATGCAGACAAATTCAACGGTGGGAGTGTTCCGCTACAGCCTTTTGCAATCTTCCCTGCTATTTCCTCTAGTTAGCAAATGATTCTTGGCTAAATTTTCCAAAGTTTCCTTTGTGTTGTTGAGCTGTACTTCGCGAAGCCAGAGATCGATATACGATCAATATTCCTTTTCAAACAAAGTAGTGTTGTTAGCAAAGCATTATTTAGTACTATAATTGTTGCATCGGCTTGAAATCGAGACCTATTAACTTCGTAAGGCCGCGTTCATACTTGCGAAGTTTTGACGGATTGACGGTGCAGTTCGTCGGCGTCAGGAGGGGAGTGGGCATTTTGCGCTTTTGCTACTTCCCCATTTTCCTATTCACTGCTTTACAAGAGTTCACAGGTATTCTACAGGAGTTGACAAGTATAATAGTTACAAATTTTGACTGGTATGACTTCCTGGCCTCACAAGATTCCACAACCTTCTACATGATGGTTGAACACGACAATGGGAACCTGCGAAAGTGCCAAATGTCCCCCTCCCCCCGTCGCTGAACTCCGCCGACCTTTTCCTTTGCCTTTTTACATTTTCTGTCTTCAGCTTCGTCTTGTCTTTCGCGTATGGCGGGTGCCTCTATACTCACTCCGGAGAGGAGGATAGAGTTGAATCCTTTCGACATCGATGCTTGGAACTTGATTCTGAGGGAGTCACAGGTACGATCTGCTGCTTTTTATCAACATTCGCGAATAATTTGCCATGAAATTATCTCGCATGTAGATTGCTTTGTTTCACGCTAATTTGAATGTTCCTTTCGAGAACCTTAAAGACGGTCTTCGGCTCAACCAAGCCGAAGGCGTCCGTCCTTGCACAAGTAGTCTGGCCCTCGGTCTCTGAAGTTATCCCGCTTTCGCGGCTTCACAGGAAGTAGCAGCCTTTATAAGCGGTGGGTCTCGTTTTCCTGGCACCACCCACCAAAACTCAAGGCTGTTTTGTGCTAAGAGTTCAGTTTTTACGCCGTTTTTTTTGTTATTTTTTCAATATGAGACGGTATTAGCCTTTAATAAGCTGAGAAGTGATTAGTGAACGAGAGGCGGCAGAAAATCGCTTTGCTGGCGGCATAGACCAGGAGGTATAGAGAACTTGTGCAGAGGGGCTGCCTAAGGATACTTAGGGGGTCCTCCATGATTTTCTTGCTCTTTTCTTTCCCAGAGGGTCACCTAGCGAGTGTAGTTTTGTAAATGAGCGCCACTGTCTACCACATGCAATCACAATGTTTGTCTCCAAAAGTGGCATTTCCATCTAGATGACGTCAGTCCCAGTTCTGCACAGAGGTACGTTAACTGCCCCA